GGCATGAAACGTATGCGCGCATCGTTTCGCTTATTTACTTCTCACACAATCTGATCAGACCCGCGTGTTCATTACGGACCGACCGCAGATAGTTAGTCTATCAAAATTCGAGGCCACTGACGCATCTGGATATTTTATATATGTACTCACGTGCTTGGATATTATAGCAGTACGCATAAATGGGTATGGTCGTAGGTAGCTTCGTTTTATATGTTTCTACAGATGGAATAACATATATATATATATATATATATCTATATAATAGATGTATTGAAGCTGTAAGATATGCAATGTGTTAAATGTATCTATAATAAATAACTTAAGGCAGCTTATTGGCCGATAAAATGTAATGTGGCACGTGGTTTCCAATTATAACTATACGTTGATCTGGCAAACACATAGATATGATTGTATATCAATATATATAATTAGACAGGCAACTAGAGGTGCTGTTCGCGCTTGGTCAGTCGTCCTGCTATACCAATATAAATAAACAACTGACCAGTGTCCACGTCATGGATGCGGCAATGCTGAGTGACTCGGTCATGCTTGGCGGCAGCTGCCACAGGTATGTCGCATCGTGCATGTAAAAAACAGGAAGGTCCCATCTAAAATAAATAAATGTTTCAAACGACCGCCTCCCGCTATACAAATGCATGTCTTTGCCGGAATCCGGAGTAGCACATGTTCCGAAGTTCCGTAGGCAAATACTTCACGGTTGCGCCATCATGGCACAGTGACGAACATGATGCTAGACCGAAGAAGTTGTTGAGAGGAGAACAGCAGAAACTATTAAAAAACGTAACAAGATGCAGTATATGTCAGGAAGGGTAGGCGTACCACGAAGCGGTTATGGTTAGTCGGACTAGTTCAAAGGTAAAGCAATGATGTGTCGAAACGATTAATATCGCTATGCACACATACGTATGTGCAGAATGGGTTACCCGTTTGCAGTTGCCTTTACCAGTGGCACCAATCACGGAAGCTGGTGTTCTGGCCATCAGCATGAGTCACAAATCAATTCGTCTTTTATCCATTGGATACCAGATGCCTGTATAGACAGAACGAATAGCATCCTACCAATTCGTCGTTAGTTAACGACAAACTGTTAATAATAAACGGATTAGTTTGATATCAATAAAACCAAGTTCTCGTTTAACACACAATCAGGAAAAGCTGCTTTATTTAATACTGCAGTATGTGCCGCGATGCGTGACGCCAACGCGTCGTCTTCTGCCTTTCCCCTTGTTGTCAGTCGCGTGTCAAATAGTCAGATGCTCGTTATTGTCAGAAGAGTATAGCCTGAAGCCTCTGAAGCGGTCGGACATTAGCTTCTCGTTACCGGAGATTATGCTATTAAACAGAGGCAGCGGCAGTAGCCGCGGACAAGGACAACGAAGATGATCTTCTCGAGTCTCTGACGGACGTAGGACAGCCATATCGCGAAGCATCAGTTCACCTTTGTGTTGTCCTGTGCTGTTGCAATGCTCAATGTTCATATGATTACTTCGATCCATCGTCGCTGTTGTTGTTTAATCTGTTTGCAGCTAAATAATGGTGGTGGTATTATCGCACTGCTGTATAATTATAAAATCGTCGATATCGTTCTGTATCAGATCCGAGCGAGCAAAAAAACTGTAAATTGTCTGCCGTTGGCCATTGACGGATTATTATTATTATTGCGGATTAGTATTGTTGTGCACGTGACCGTCGGCACAGACCAAAGCTAATTTATTGAAGCGTGTTTTAAAGGTGTACCTAGAATACAAGTACATTTTATTTGCTAAGGGGCAGCTACAAGAAAAAGGCAAACACCACATACTAGAACGGTGTTCTTCTTACGATTAGTAAGAGATAAAAGGGACCGAAAGGCGACGGCGTTTCCTCTGTTAGGACGTGCATTCCGAGACGATTTATATTCGGGCTGTTGTCATGTAAATGGCCTGTCAAGCTGAAGAGTTCAATGCAATACGAATAATAACGTTGGCCCCGACTGAAGCAGCCGTCAGGACAACAGAAACGTTCTTGTGGTGACGGGACAACAGAAATAAAACTTCACTGGGCAAGACAGATTTTCATGTTATCGTTCATTACGAGACCGTGTCGATAGTGTCACGTCAGGTACACTTGTTACGTTTGTTACTTTCGATGCATATGGATAGGCCGTTTAGAGCTTTCGATTACGACAGCAAAACTTATTTCGTGGATCGTTGTCTCGCCTGAACGTAATTCTAATACGTACTACTAGTTTCTTGTGCTGAAACCTCACGCGATAATCTGTCGTGATGCGTGCATCTGAAGTTTGCAAGGCGCACTCAGATACCTTTCAATCTTTCCTTTTCAAATAATGAATCGTGAAGCCATTGAAGACAGCTGATGAATCTTTTCAATAACGTAGTTTATTTATGTCATAAACATTATATATATATATATATATATATACTAGTCAAGTAAATCATACCATTGTATAACAGCTTTACGCACAGTAGCTTTATGTGAGCATTACTATAATCCCGAAGTTAAAAGATCTGATGCCTTCATCGGTCCAGGTGGGTGTCTTGTCGGGTAGCTTGTTTCAGTCAAACCGAACTTATTGATACGCAAAAATAGGCTACTACGGTGAACAATGGACAGTATGTGAGCAACATATACGAACTAAAGATAATGGACACGGTGAATCGCTTCTGAATTCACGACGATAACCACGAGAAGCCTTCCTATGGCGGCCGTCATTCGTAGCAAACAAAATCACACCGTTTATCGACTTCAGCGTGCGCTTGTCAATGGTTGCATACTTCTAATGTGACCTTTTCGGCGGCGAGTGAAAGGCACTGTGGTACGTATCATACGAGCGATATCGAAGAGGTTACTTGAATCGTTGCAATTGCCCTTTGAGATTAAATACGTGAAACATCAGTTGTTTATAGATTCGGAGAACTAAAAGGGATTGGATGTCATCAGGGTACATTTTGGAGTGACCCCAGCAAGTCTGCTCGTCAGTGTTAAATCTAGTTAGAGCCCTCCTTCAATAGACATTTGTATTGGCAGTAGTACATTTACTTATATAAAAATCCCTGGCGAAGACCCTTTACTAATATTTTTATCACGATGTACGGTGGAATGTTTCACGCTTTTGAAGCAGCAAACGTTGTAACGCGTACTCTGGTGCCACTTGTCGGAAATGCAATGTTGCTTAAAGCCAGTGGCAAAAACACGGTCTCAGTGTTGAAGCCTGAATCGGATGATCCGATCAGTAAAACCATATTGGCGATAGCGCATAACATTGAAATAAAAAAAAAATCGTTCCAGGTTCCTTCGAACCATAAGTAGGTAAGCGTTGTTAAGTGAATTTTGCATTTTCCTTACTGCAGAGCAGTATGCATGAGAGGCAGACTATAATAATGATTTTTGTCGTGTTGTTGAAAAGTCAATCGCAGAATTTATTAATCGCTATAAAGAATATGGATTTCGAGTGACGGTATTTTTTGTTTAAAAATCGTAACCTTACCTTCCCACCTGTCTTCAAGCGGGATACATTGATCGATGCTAACTTTTTTAGTTAAGGCTATGACAAGACATATTTTCTATATAAAAACACGACAATATCGTAGCATCTACACGATAGTTAGTAATTTTTAACGATTTTTTTCATATTGACTCTTACAGAACGTTAGTGTTATGAAAAGCATTACCAGATCAATTCATTACTTAACACTTACGCGCACGCTAATCACTTTGTGCTAGAATTATTTAAAAGGATCCCAGGCTTTTTGTCACAAGCCAACGACTCTTGACTGATCTCCATCGAGCTCTAGTTAACCTTTGGAGCTTCTACAATCAGAATCGTACATAAGCATATGATGATGCTGATTGCTAAGTTCGACGGCTGCTTCTTTCTTAATAATGGTTTCGCGCTTCTACACGCTATCACGTTTACAGAACAGGGTTCCGATATCAGTTTTCCTAAAACAGATTGGTTAAGGACTTTATATAATTCTAGTTCCCGCGCGTATCCAGTTAGCTTACGCTGTTTAAGGGCTCATTAATACGTTTATTCTGCAGCGTAATTTCGTTGCTAAATCTGAATAATGTTCTGTAGAGTCTTCACTGTTTTTGTCAACTGAAAAACGCTGTAAGAACATATTTACGCAAAACATGAATGATATGGCTTTGTGCAATCGATATTAGTTTATTATTATTGGTCAAATATACATAGCCATTTCCGTACCTTCCCCTTCATGTGCCTTCTCATACCGATATCTGGTATTATTATTTTCTAGGTTTACGCGGCACTTATACAACCTGGATATGTCTTATCAAAAATCAGTGTTAGTCTAGTGTTTTTAGCTGTACGAGCTCGCTGACGGCTTGCTCAGACCCAACCGACTCGAGTTTTGCCAGATCTGTTGTGCCATTCAAGGGCTGTTGTATCCCGCGCTCAAGAGCCTATACTTGGTGTTCTTCTACGCTGACTGACCTTACGCCATCCAGCACATACAACACGTGTACGAAATGCTCTCTTATCATTATGGTATTATGGACAATGGGTTCGAATAAAGTACGCATTGTCTGTCAATACGATTTATTGCGTAGTTAACGATCCGTGTAAACGTGCGAGTTCGCTGTGTAGGTGAGAAAAAAATCTACGGTTATACTACTGGTTCTATCTGTTAGTATTAGCTTCGGCTTAAATAGTGCATTATATTCTTATGGTCCAAGCCACGCCAGTGGCATACACGACAGATGTGATTAACTGAAGCAAACTTATTTTCCATAATATTTTAACTCGGACCACAACCTTTGAACGTGATCAGGCGGAACCTGAGGTAGATAAGTCATGGTTGAACTCAAGGTGAAAGCAATATTAACAATGATAGTCGGCTTTGCTATCATACATTTTCGCTCACGACCAATATATCGTCTTTAACCGTAAAATAGATGTAAGCTTTTAAATAGAATGATCCTATTAGAAATATTCAAATAGAACAGCTTTATATAAAATGTGTTCGTTTGTTCTACAAGGCACAAACTGCACAGTTTATTAGCTCGCGCCAGTTGCGTAATACGCCTTCTCTATGGTGACCGGAACTAACAGTTCCGATCCTGTTCAGTATCCACGATAGAAAATGAACGTGTAAAACATGCAGAAGCTCATATTGTCGTAGAACTTCCATAACTCTCTCACGTTTCACTAATAAATTATTGCCTTTTTTTCAAAAACGTTTACCGAATCACCTCGTTTTTTGTGCAACAGCCGAATTACTTCGATTCATTGTTTACTTTCTCACATTGGTCCTGTTTATTACTTCTACATAATATATCTTGCGTGACAGGCGACTTCTTTTCTTTCCAATGGACGCAAGCTGTAGTTGCCGTTGGCTCGGCGAACCGCTCGGCGAGCCCACATCGTCGCTACCACTTGAGCACCGTCCAATCGCCCGCTCTCCTTTCGAGCGACAGTTCTAGCAGACAAAATCATTGCGGCTCCCTAGGCGGCCATGTTGCTTGTTTACATGTTCGTTTGTTACTTCAACTGACAAAGGTTCATCAAATAGCAGAAAACTGTCCGCATACAGAAACACTGTCGCAGTGCAACGAGAAGAGTGAGCAGCAGAGATCAACAGATCGAGCAGCAGCAGCAGCAGCAGCGGGCTTAGCAGAACGACTTCTTGTCGGCTCGAATTATCGGTTTCAGAAAAAATAGAGGCAGTGTGTCGGTGGAGAAGGGCACCAGTGGCCGATGGTGTGGCTGTGCTCTATCGACGAGTGAGTGTTACTGAGGGTAGAAAAGGAAGGTGCGATTTTTAGCGGCGGGTGGTCGCGTGTATTGCGTTCTACGTTAGCGCCTCAGAGCATAGAAACCATCGACAGTAGCGATAGCATAGTTGGGGACGTGTGATTTAGGATGAAAAACGAGCGAATTCTAGCTGAGTTGCCCGCCGCCGCCGCCGGTGCCGCCGCCGCCGCCGCCGCGGCTGCCACAGCTGAGAACGACCACGGAGTTTTTCCTGATTTTATTTTGCGGCTGACTGTTTATTGCGCCGAGTTCAAATAAAGTTGTTTCGTCAAAGGGCTGTGCGTGTCTGAGTGAACGTAAGTGTCGCGTGTCTGTGTTGTGAGCAGTAACAGCACAGAGAGAGGGTTTACCGGGCTGCAACGGACCAGCTAATGAGGAGAGTAACGGCCTGTTTGCCTAGCAGCTCGGCTACAACTATTACCACTACAATTACTGCTACTACTGAAGCTTTCCTGTCTGTGTGCAAAAGCTGTTGTGTATCTTTACAACGAGAAGGATATACTTTGATGAGCAGCCTATTTAGTATCTGCGTTTGACTTTCGCTGCGTATGTGTCCTGTGTGACTCTTGAATCTGCTGATTGCATGTTGTCTCTGTTACTACTGTATAGGGGCTGTTCCCTGTGGTGAAGCGATGACGGTGCCCATCGAGGCATCATTTGCACGGCGGCTGTTAAACCTGTCCTCGCTACTCCAATGGCAAACAGAGACAGACAGCCAGCAGTGGTCGTGAGCGACTGGAGCTCAGTAGGAGCTTCGATCGCCACATCAAGCCACGATCATCACAAGAGTGTTTTCTATTACAGCTGTTACTATCAAACTTTCGAACTGCGGCTCTGCACAGCCCAGAGGGCAGTTGTTTGTTGTCCTTTGACTGAACAGTTTGTAAATCAGTGCCTTTGGCCTCCGGACGGCTCAGAATAGGCCAAGTACAGGCGAGATAGGACGAGTAAAGAAGAGAAGAACCCGGCTGCCCAAGACCATGGAGCGGCTGCCCGAGTACCTGCGCGAGACGGTTGTGTGGCTGACCGGGCGTGGTAAGCGCAAGGAGCAAACGGAAGCGCAGCCAAAGATTTATCTGGAGGATCAGGTGCTCGAGTGCACTGTCAACGAAGAGTCACTTAAGGAGCTAGTGGCACTCCCGGACGGGCTTGACTATCATGAATGGCTGGCGTTCCATACGCTGGCTTTCTTCGAGCACGTCAACATGATCTACGGTACGGTGGCCGAGTTTTGCACAGTGTCGGGCTGCCCCGACATGTCAGGACCCGGAAACCGGCAATATCTATGGTTTGACGATCGTGGCAAGAAGTGCCGCTTAGCCGCACCACAATACGTCGACTATGCGATGACGTTCACTCAGAACACGGTGACGAACGAAGCATTCTTTCCTACGAAATTCGAGGGCGAGTTCCCTGCTTCGTTTGAGTCGATCATCAAGAAAATTCATGGTCTCCTATTAGCGGTACTGGCTCACCTGTATCATGGCCACTTTCGCGAAATTCTCCTTCTCGAGCTACACGCCCATCTGAACACTTTATTTTCGCATTTCACTCTGTTTAATGCCCACTTTGGTCTCAACGACGATGACGTTCTAAGGGATCTCGCTATTGCCCTTAAACTCCTGCCAAAGCCGGGTGGAAATGGCGATGCTACGGAAACTGACGGCACAATAGCCGACGATACAAGCGCTGCAACTGCCGGCTGCACAGAAGAGGAACGATGTTCTGACATTCCTACGTCGTTACTGTGACCAGCTGATGCACGGTCGTTGACAATCGCAGCAGCTGCAATCGCCACCTGTTCGGCGATAAGGGCGGGATGGAGTTTGTTGCCAACTGGAAGTCGCCACCCAACAGATAAACGGTAATCTGCAGAAGGTGATGAAGGTCTTCAGTGCTGAAGACAACGAACCTGAGGTGAAGAGGAAATGATATTGTTTTCCCTTTTCCACCATTGTTCGATGTGTCCACATTATCAATTAATGTAGAACAGACACGAATAGATCAAAATACCGAAAGGCACTTAGGCACATGTGCTGATAGCATGAATACGATATGAGAACGTGTTGATGCACAAACAGTTGATATAAGACCCATCACTGCAACTAGCTTTAGCAAAACAAAGGGTCTACATCAATTTTCACTAGGCGAATATTTAACTAATAGGTCAAAACAGAACACTAGAATTTTACAGAGTCATGTAGATTTATGATGCGTTCTTGGCGAGCACGTTGTCGGACAGAAGAGATCCGCGGGGCAGATGTTATACGAGGGAAGGTGGGGAAGAACAGTTTGAAGGACGGTATCTCGGAAAGACAGTGCAAATATAAAACAGGTATATATATATATACATATATACATATATATATATATATATATATATATACGTATGGACACAAGTGACGCCAACGAATTTCACTAGACGAAGAATGCACAGGGTTGAGCATGTGGGCGAGCGTGCACCCAGCATACAATTTCCAAAGAGCCCCATAAGGAACGGTGCAATGAAAGATACATTCTCAGTTCAAAACAGACGCACCGCCTTTGGTGGCACCACGATCAAAACATAGAGGTGATACCATTTGCAATGCAACAAAAAAAACAAAGCACTTTCGTTCTTAGACAACATACAAAGCAAAAAAAAGAAAAGTAGTAGGGCTTATGATATGCGTAATATATCCGCGTGATTCGATCATGCTCTGCATATTTAAGAAAGTTACGGTAACAAAGAAATAGGCATAAAAATCGTAGCAAAAAAAAAGAGAAAACAAAATACAATGACATACTTCATCTACGATATTAAGAGGCAAGCTCAAAATTCTCTTTAAAAATGATACATATGGTAACATCTAGGTGATTCATGGACGCCGATGGCGATGACGGGGAAAATGCTTGCAGAGTACATTGATTCACAAGTATTGCACCAGCATATATAGCATGATGAGACCAGTCTTCGCTGGAGATATACTGAAACAGTGGTTTACATTACGGAAGGGTGAACGATTAGCTTGAAGGGCACTTAGAAGCGAGTTCCTAAGAATAAAGGAATATCTAACTAAAACGACATTCTGGTTCAGACGCATCTCTCAACCTTTGATAATGGGCACTGACAAAACGTTACATGCTTACCTCCATCCCTTGGGATCTCTTGCCTCATCGAGCTAATAGAACGCCAAAAAGAGTCATCTGAATGCTACTAACATGGTTTAGTGATAATTTAACAAAGAAAAGTGCTTTTAGAATGACGACTGGCGCTAGCAAGACGTCATGTATGTGGATACTAACTAGCTAAGTAACCGTTTCGCAGAAACAAATGTTCACAGAAGGCTTGACGATTGATAACGTACTATTCGTATTACGGTTATTAGTGTTTACTACTCTTATTGTCATTATTTATTTTATATTATTACTTAGTTGCACCGCCAATCCAAACACTATTTATAAAAAAAAATTCAGAGCCTGATAGCTTAACCAACCAAGTGAAATGTCGTGAAAGGCTGACGATAGTAATTTGCAATTACGATAAGGACTATTTATGTTGTCCTTTATTACAAACAATTATTATTTACTTGATGCTACGTTTGTGTTGATAATGAAGTGTTTTATGTACATTATGTTCAATATCGAGAGGGATAAATGAGATCGAAGAAAAGTGACAAGGAGCAAGTGCAGGAAACTTTTGAAACGGTGTGAAACACCTTCGTGAACAGTGGTCGACGAGAAAATGCGGAGAACAATAGTGCGAAGGTAATAAGAGGTGTATTGAACTGATCTTGTTATATCGACCAATCTCAGAACGCCCTAAGGCCTGAAGAAAGAACACTGATGAGGACACGGGAGCGCATGAAACAAGGCCAGCGAGTTCGCGATGAAGAATTTTGTTATGTCAACAAGTCCTCTACAAGCCGTATCTGTCCCTCGTACAGATCAAGATTGTAAAATACTGAAAAAAATACGTTGCAAACATTCGAACAGACTAGATATCTGTGTGAGATGGATAGATGTGGACGTATGACGAAAACTAAATATTTAATTTATTAAAGTAAGCTGAAGCTGAATTAGGAAGTTAAGTAAATAAATAAAAAGGTAAAAGCCGTTGTGAGATACGCGGTAAAAGAAGCAATGTGAAAGAACGAGAGAGAGCCCAGATTTAGTGTAAAAGTTGAGAGGAGTATACAAGAGAAACCGCTGGCAGGCAATTTTACCAGAGACAAGGAAAGTTGTTGAATAGAAAAACATAGACAAAATATATATATATATTCAAACAAAAAGACCACGGGACAAGACGGCGGTAGTAAAGCAAGAAAGCAAATTACGCGTGGATGTAGGAGTGGCGGGGAGATACGATGACGAAAAGTACTACTAGGCTAGTGCACTGTACAGAGTTGTTCCATGAAAAGCTTGCCCTATGTAGGGCTGAGTTGTTGTTATGACTATTAGAAATTTGATGAAATATTTAAAATGCTAGAAAAAAACCTATCCAAGAAAAAAAATAATATTACTAACGTTATTGAGTTTTCATTTAGGTATAGTGGTGCTGTTGAAGGGAAAGGCGATAGCGCTGAATGAAAATATTCTAAATCGTACAGCAGGTCAAGTAATGAGAAATCTACAGAATGATATACTCTGTTGAGGCGTTTGTACTCATAATGATTTATTTAGAAATACCCCAGACGTCGCAGAATATCTGCTAACGTGGGTTATCAGCAATCGCCGAGTTATTACTGACTTTGCATATATCTAGGAATTGACTTCATGCAAGCACCACGTAATCCAATACTAAATTTACGATTGGCCCCATTAAATCACTCAGATAGTGTGTATTCCGACATGATATCATTTATAAATTAAGTGTGAGTGCTTGATATTTTGAGAAATACAACTCTACATCCTAATAGAGTAATTCATTGCTTAAGGCCAATTCGTAAACAAGCTAGTTTAGGTAGGTTAGGTTAGGTTACATTAGGTTAATAAATATTTTAAACATTTCTAACATTAACAAATTCTAGATATGCGTGTACCGAAATAATTATCACATTCAGATTGATGAAACTTCCATTTTATTAATTTGCCACGTTATCGTTATCGGAAGCCTGTTTTTAGCCTTAATCCTTCTTGTATCGTCTATCTGTTTCCTTTGTGTCTAGTTAAACTAGTAGTATCTAACGTGTAGTTATATTTTCGCCAAATTTTGAGCAACTTTTACTGTCTACCATTATTCTTTGAGATGTTTTTCATACATCAAGAGATTGACGTTTCACTTTCTGTCAGGTCGCTCATCAACGATTGTGATTACATACTGTATGAAACGACAAAAGCTACCTTCACGGTCTATTTACTATTACGTTATATGCAGTTTTTGGTCCTGTTTAGAAAGCTAGCCACGTTTGCTCATTAAATAACCAAGCACAATCACAATAGACGTTTGGATCGACCCATATACGCACATAGTCACACCCAGATGGCCAGCCAAATAGTAGGTGCTCACTGTCTTCTAGCAGTGTGTATTGGATTATAACAGATGCCACGTAGCATATTTATACTGTAGACCGTTCGCTGCGTCACCCTGGATACCTGCATGCTCAGTAAGGAATATCGTGCGGCGACTGTAACAGATTCAATCGTATTTTTCCTCTGCCTTTGTCGTCTTCTATTTCACTGACAATAGGCAATGCAAAATCGTTATCGTAATCAGTACGGCTGGTGGGCAGCGGTTCGTTGTTCTGGGCTGAAGAGTTATTATTCGTTTAGGTTAGAGTGAGTTTAGCTTACACTGCGCAAATTTACGTTTGTGAAAGAACTGCTCCTGGTGGCTTCTTTTACCCAAATGGCGGACCTGTATGCCTGCAGGATAGAAGCTAATTTATACTGTATAATAGATCTGCAGGAAGATGGGAAGGATGCCGAAATGATGTGGGGATGTTGCTTCTTAAAGATGTGTGATACGTCTGCCAACTAGCCAGTACATTTTTGCGTCCCATGAACGAAACGCAATAGAGATAGCAGCAACAACAGCCACAACCAGCCGCCGCGGACGTAACAGTATCTTCAACAGCACGGCGCTTATAGCCAGGATATAGTTATAGAGGGACGAGAAGTAGTGACTTTCCGCAGCCACAGTGACCGTCTGTGGCTGTTACGACCCTTGTCGACGTGTTTGTGTAAATCCATGATTTTTGAGGAAGCGATGGTTCGCTGGGTGACTTCATTTGAAGGCGCTGGTTTTCCAGTTGATTCCATTGAGGCCGGGCGACTTCACCTACTGCAGTTTCCAATGATCGTGAGCAAAGTCGCTCGTGGCAGCACCACTGCTGCCGTAGAAGTTGAGTTGCAATGCTCGTTTGTCCGAAAATTCAGCTATCGCTGGTCAAGTCAACAAGAAACATGGTCATTATAACGTGGCTATCAGTGCTTCCAGGTTGGCTGTTATCTCATGAACGACCTGTAGTATATAGAGACTGTGGCAGACTGGTCAGCGTCAACCGCACAGCGTGAGAAAATTTCCCACAGCAAAAGACACTTGTAGACTGGGGGCTACAGGGGAAAAAGATAATGAACGTAAATAGAAAAAGAGAGTGTTGGTGAAAGAATGCAAACAACGGCATCCTACTTTCACAATCGTAAGCTAGCACAACTAGCGCAAGATGCAGCGTAAACTAACGCCACACCCGACCTCATTTTGGATTGCCTCATATGTTCGGGTACAAATATGTACACATGATGTGCCGTATACATATGGCTATATGCTGAGTTGATTATAGCGCTTGTAATATGAAAAGAGCGTAACAAAACGGAAGTGCACAACTGGGACGGACAGGAAGGACAGAAAAATTTGTATGGGAAAAAATTATTGTAGTTGAGTATGTATATATTCGTCTAATGTGCAAATGAGACTTCACTGCTAGTAAGCTATTCGTTTGGCACTGTATGACTTTTATTAACTAAACCCAGAAACTTCAATGTTTAATAATTGTATTGATTTATCTAGTCAAAGAGCGTCATATAATGTTTTTGTAGTTCGAACTCAAACCATCCAGAGGCAATGACGAAAATTTAATGCCGCTTCCCAAAATTATCGGAGCAAAAAATAATGACAATATTAGTATCATCCTCATTGTTATGTTGGTGGAATATTTATGGCAATATTATTAATATTAAAAAAAATACAAAAAAATGCTACCGGGATTGCCGAAAGCCACACTCAAAAAGTTGGACAAGTAAGTCGTACTTTTTTATATTAGTCTGAATATATTAGAAAAACTGTTCCTATGGAGTATTTGGAGATTATTATGGCTGTTTGAAAAGATATGAGTCCATGGTTTAACAACTAAATGGAACAATGGCGATTTTAGAAACAGAAGTTTAGCTATTTTGATCAATGCGCAGTCGAAACCTAGTAAATGAGAGGAGTCCATTTTTATGCTGTCTACATTATTAGCTTAGCAACTGAACTTTAATTTTATACGTCTTCAGCTCACTATTAATTCAAATACAAAAATCTATTCATTTATTTCAACTATAAGCCTTATGTCTTGCGTGTTCATAAATGCTTGCTTTATCAGACGATCGAAAGGCGAACATATTTGTTAAGCGCTCTTATTGTTTTTTAATTAAATGTCCAATTTTATAAACGTTTTAAAAACTGGCTCTAGGAATCGTTCAAGTTGCCAAAGGGTAACGGACCACTGATTTGAAAATAATCATTAACGGTTGATTGATTCCAAAGCTGATTCATACTACCGATACCCAAAAGTAGATGAAACGTATATTCGATCATTTAGTATACTGTTTATATTTCCATAAGTGATGGCAGGCTTAATGCCTATTGACGTTATACTGCTTGAGTGCATTTGTGGAAATACATGCATACGCAAAAAGGTGCACCTTTAGTGTAAGACGTTTAGGTAACGACACAGTTCGGCTATACCATGTCACAAGAGTCCAAACATTATTGCCGCCATCGCAGTAGCTAACAAGTCATACTTTTTTTGTCGCATTTAATACCATAGCATTGTATCAAGCGTAATTTGTCATCAATTTCTCGTGGTCAAAGTATAACCAGTGCATCCCAACCCCTTCATGTTCCGTACTTAAATCTGGGCTCATGCAATGAATTATAATCAATGTCTTCAGAAAACAGAATAACTTAAGGACTCGATGTTGTTGCGTACTGGCAACGTCGGCGTCAGTACCGTCGCCTGCACCAGAAGCAATGACGATTCCGATAGTAACAGCGAAAAATACAGGAGGGTAAGAAAATCAGCCATTTCGTTAAGATTTAGCAAAAAGCTACCGGGTTGGAATACAGGAAAAACAATCAGCGCAGCCCAATTCTTTCTCGCTATCAATTTTATCTTTCTAGAAACCTTCAGGCACCCCACTTATTTTCAATCAGTTTCACCTTCCTCGGTGCCCCTTGTAGCGAGACGACACAGAACAAAATACCACAACTAATGTGAGACTTGCGAAGACCTGTCACAAAACGACGACGTTGTTGTTATTATTACTATTGACGTTGTTGTTGTTGTTGTCATAGTCGACGTCGATAATGATGATTATAATCATGCAGACGAAACAGGAGACGCTGCAGGGCTACGAAGAGTTTCGCCTGCAACAGCTGTGGCGATAAGGCTATGTACGAATCACCGCAATCAGCCAAAATAGAAGCGCAATGCAGACATGAGAGCGACCACTACAGATACTTCAACAGCGAACAGCTAGGCGATGAGGAGGATAGCAACAGCAACAGTCATAATGATATCTCCAAAATAGCAAAGAAATGGAACAACAACCACAATAAAAACAACAAAGTAATGATTTTGACAAAAGGCACATCATGGCATCGCCTGGGTCAGCGGTAGGAGTCAATAGTACCAGCGGCACATCACAATGGACAGGGGCTCGTCTGAGGATCGTCTTCCTCGCTGATCCGTAGCCGAACTCCGATCTGCTACTTCCCCATTATAAGAAGCCTCATTTGATTTCATCGCTCATTCTTCCTCCACCCACATTCTAGATAGCCGCCACCACCTCCTTTGTCTTGTGCATTGTTGTTGTTGGCTATCCGTAAGAGGCAGCCAGCGGTTGCAGTACGGCAATGCTGCAATTGCTGGCTGGCTATATACATACATATATATGTGCTGTCGATTTTGATGAGAAGTACGAGTTTGCCAGGTTGTAACTGTTACGTCACAGTGCACACGTTGAGCATGAACGCGCTTTCATATTGAGCAGAAGCAGTGGTCGTCTTGGCGACTGAGGAAAAGACGCCGAAGGTAAAGAAGAGACAACTAATCCTGTGCTATGCGTGAAGAGAATCGTGCTGGACCATCCTAGCCCCTAGTTCTCAATTTCCTTGAGACGCCGCAACTTTCACTACTACTCGTCGTCGTTGTCAGACTTCAGACGGCCTTTGCATTGACACGTCATAGGATATCTTTTTCGTGGAGAAAGAGCGAGAGACAAGGGTGACGTTGGCAGGCCAAAATGAGCGATTGCGTAAAGGAGCGATTCCTCATAAAGTCGATCCTGCCAACTACTAACATTGCCACGACTAATGTTTCGGCTGCTAATGGTAACTGAACGTGAAGCAGACTAGACTAGCAGGTGTATTTGCCTATACCCAGCGGCACTTCTGCCAGCTTCAAAGACTGGCAGGAAGATTCCCTTAAGTAAACGAAAACAACGGGAACGAAGCATGAACTGCAAGGAAACCAGGCTGACAGAAGCTATATTGCAAAGCACGCAGACGATCGGGACGGAAGTTGGACAACGTTGAAAATGCTTACCTCCGTCACGTCTTCTTCTGCTCTGGTAAAGACGGTTAGAACTCGGCTTTGGCGACGGCGACATTCCCTTGACGTAATGGAAGCGGAGAGCGTACGGGATCGCTCGCATAAGACTCCAAAGCCATCGAAGGGGATCCAAAATTAGTCGAACCAATTCGCCTAACCACGTTGTTTATTCATTTGCCATATATATATATATATATATATATATTTGGATAAATATGTACGCAGACCCACCCAACATCTTCGCGGCATATGCGCTTTGCGGCATCTCTTGATGGCCCCAGACTGAAAATCCACTGATAGACATCGCGTCTTCATCGGGGTGTCTGTCGCTTGGGGTCCGATCTACAACATGCACTAGCACAACGTACGGTTCGCGCAGTACTTGCTGTTCATTTCATCAGCGAAAGCACTTTAATGCTATAGCGCGTTGTGTAGACGTTAGGTTCAGATCTTGACGCAAGCAGCTTGAGCACTACTGAAGTGTTACAGATTTAGTTGAAGAATCAAGATCTTGGGGGATGGCTTTCGACGTATCAAATCCTGTATATCGTATTACACAAGCAGTGTCAAAAGCAAGCCTCATCGTAACGGAATGGGAAAAATCGATTTTAACGGATCATTCTATTGGATCATTAAATATTGTCTGCTGTGACGACGCATGTGTGTGTCAGTTACTGTTTTTTTTTACGATTTTCTAAACTGTAAAGTTCAGACAAACGTATGAAAGTTTTGTATAAATACCCTGTACTTAATCAGTGGGCAATTATGCTATAAGCATAGTTTACGGCTTTTGTAAGCTACTTTTTGATAATAACTGTAGAGTGTGGTTGGCACGTCTCTACCAACGCACCGCAGTATTTGTTATAATATGGGTACGTAACCGCTATCTGTTTGCTGCGTAGACGAGTACTTCTTGTGACTTGTACGATATTGACAAACTCAATAAGAGTGGTGACATATAATTTACGCAGTAATTATGCCTAAATGCCAGTCGCAAAATTGTGAGTGAAACTACATGATTGTTTAACAGATATGGCGATATTAAGGGGTTTCGCTTAGTAATAACTCCGTCTCGATTGCCTTTGATTGACAATTAACGATTCTGTTTAAAGAGATATATATTTGCGCATTAATTGATATATGTCCGTGAAAGTAAGTCTCTTGCCGTTCCGGCGAACGATTTTTGGAGATTGGCGATTTTGCTGAAACGGGGTAATTATCCATGCAGGCTGAAACATGATGTAAGCGAGCTTGATTTCTTATAGAAATGATACGAGTGCAAGCTGGCAATTAGTTGGAACGTATATTATTAGTGCAACCTATTTTGTTATGACCGTCCGATTGGCCATATCGACGATGTTCAATATGCTCTTTATACATTTTGCTCTTAACTGGTCATCTACATATGTGATCGATAATCGACAAATTGGACAACATTCTCTTCGGTAGGTAATGATACGCTAATGTTAACCTTCTTGTTACCCCCACAAAATGAGACAATTGAAGAAAGCCTTATAAAACTACTTTGATGCATATTTTCTCGTTGTTAGCGATGTTTCTTGTAGTCCACTTTGTAAAGGCCAAGATATTTTTACCACACTACAGTTTATACCGTTCATCACATCACATATATAATATTCAGGTTCTGTCATGCCAAAGAAAAGAAATAGCTTAACAAATTCTAGAAGAAAGTTATTTTGGAAATTATGCTCAATTATTGTTCAGCGCTTCTGGTCAAGCGAACATTGAAGGATGATCGAAATGTAAAACCGCTCCCAACACGCTCGGAAACCACAATAAAGTACTTATATTTTAGTGCAAGTTTCATGTCGGAATCCTGCAATGGTCAATGTATATGCTGTTTTATATCAAGAGAATAGGCAAAGCTTTCCAATGAAAATCAGCCTAACCACCCACCATCGGGATATCTATTTTCTTTTAGCAAAAGATGGAATTCGAAAGATGATCTTCATAGCTATGCTTGGTTATCGTTGTCACTCAACCCAGTAATTTCACCTCCCTTCGAATAGGTCCAGACAGCAAAATTATAAGTTAGCTTTGATCTTCATACATACAATCCCGTATGAAGAAGCTGCGTACATTTCGCTGCGTTTTGTATTCGCACAGTCAAAGGCACATACCTCGGTTTATATACGTGAAAATTATTGCTCCTGTCTTACAAGCGCTGCTATTATCTTTATCGTTATGGTCTTCAACCAGTGACACGCCTGCCATTCAGTCGAATTCCCGTCGCCGAATCAATTGAACCTCATCGTCGACCAACCATCGCACGGCCGACCGACCGAGTAGAGGCGTAGCGGTGCTGCCATCTAATTTCTTCTGCGACTGCACCGCATCGTCTTTGTCCTCCGTGACTATTTGATCAGCTCCTCCATTCCTTCGGTAATTCGAATTTTGAATCTTCTGACTTTTTCAATGATTTGGAACCTGGCACGCATTTAACTCCCAACGACATATATATCGGTATATGTATATGAAGCAACTGTACGCGATTGATTTCTTTAGATGTCTATTCTTTATTTAGTGTCTAGTTTATGACGATTTTTTGAAGTGAGTCGGCTCGTCATGCCCAGTTTCATTCCTCCCTGGTAGGCAGTGATGGATTATATGCATTATCGCGAATGAACGTCGACTGCTTAGTCCAGTATGGTTGATTTTCGACGAATAAGATGAAAATCGCTCTAGAAAACAGTCGCATGTCGACGCTTGCCTTAGTCTGGCGGAATAGCTCCAGTGCAGCTGAGTTGCATCTCTGCAAGGAAAGTCTCAATAAGAAATTCAGAGAATGAAAAATAACTGTGGTCTATACAAAAATCCTGTTTCAGAGTGTCCGCCCACTTTGACTGGCAGTGGTCAGTGGCCCAACTGTTCTACCAGCCATAGAGCAGCTGCCACTTGTACGGCTTCAGCCAAAATGGAAAATAAACTATTTAGAAAGAAATGAACGCATGGCGGATGCAGTAGGACGCATCACGCTTCTAGTTGGCCCAGCTGCGAGTTTTTGAAGTGCATTTAAGTGGGGCTTAGATTAGTTATTGTTGCAGACGCTGCACCTCAATGTTCACTCGAGTGCATGACGGCTGACAAAACAAATGTAATAAAGAAAAAAAAAATATAATAAAAAAAATAACATACTGTTCAATATCGCAGTATGTCGGGCCTTTCAAATCAGACGAGGCTTTGACGGATACTCTCGAAGGAAAACGAAGGGTAATCGGAAAGTAGAACAATTAAGTCTATTAATAAAGAATAATGCTATTTGTGAAATTTAATGGTTAATAATAAAATAAATATGGATGCCACCTTCCATGCGTACC